GCTTTAAATAATCCGCAAAAATAAATATCACATGAAAGTTTTATAATAATAAAAACAGCGTTTCTTGTTAACCTGAATGTTTTATTCAAGTTTCAGTTAAMTAGGGTGCTAAAAATCTTCATGGTTATATTATGTGGGTTTTAGCCTTTTAGGTGTTAATATTTTTTAAATACTTTTATGTGTAAAATTAATTCAGGCACAAGGCTCTCTTATATGTATATTAAATTAATAAGTCGTCATGAATTAGCGTTATATTTATCTGTACACATCATAATATTCTATCATCGATCGTCGATTGTTTCAGTCCATTATTATAAATTATAATATAGACGACACCATACACATATATTTACGGGGTAAACCGTTAAGGTAAGACCTTCGTTATTTCAGAAAGCACTAACGTTTATGAAAATAATTCTCTTGTATAATATATTATAATATTAAGTCGTTACATAAAATTGTTTGGAAAAAGATTTTTTTACTATATTTTTAAGTTTTTTGCGGTTTGAATGACAACATACATTTTTTATTTTACATCCAAAAGAAATATTATTTGGAGTATTTTAATCAATACAAATTACATTTTGCACAAGTAGTTTATTATAGGTACTGAAAGGTATTTTAAATTTTGACAAGCGGATGAGTATAATGTACCAACATTTTACTGGGTACTACTAATATTATATAGTAATTTAATCCGTTCATCTTATAAATTATAAGTAATTAYAACGAGTAAAAATATTAAATATAATGAGTAAAAACTGCAAAGTACAATTTTTTATTGAATTACTTCAAAAAATTATATGTTTAAAATGTATGTTATCATTAAAAAAAAGACATTTAAAAAAAATATATAATAAAAATATATTTCTTGGAAAAATGTTGTTTTTATATCTWCTTAAAATATGTACATTTTTTTCAAAAACATTCATAGTTTTAAACTGAGTATGTTATGTTAAATGGATAATGGATCATCAATTTTATATCATATTATTAGAATCTTACAGGTTAGATTAGGTTGTTCAGGAAATTGACTTTAAGTGGAGATGCGTGCTGTTGTATTTTTTTTCAGCGTGAGCACGTGTTAGCTATATATATTCCTATATTTATATATCCGATGAACGAGATGACGCATTAAAAATATTTTATAGTTATATTCAAAATARTGTGGATGTATACAGATAAATTGCCTATAAAACTAGTTACCTATATGGTGGTGCGTCATGCGTGAAATGAAAGAGTTTAAAAAAAAAAACATAGCAAAATGTAAATACCTAACTACCCGCGTGATAATCCTATAGTGGATTTGCGTTTGTACAAAATGCACGTCCATTGAAAATTTTAGATAAAAATAACAATTATTTGTATACACACATACACACATACACACACACATATATATATATATATATATATATGATGGTGTATAAATGTATAATATACGACGACAAAATATATTATACGGATAGCCGATTGTAGTAACCTACCTACTGCAATATACTGTGTATCGTCACCAAGTATAATAATGTTATATACGATTAAATAATTTAAATACGTTTTGTTTCTCGTGCAATATTCGTGGTACCTATAATACATTAATACAATAATACCTATATGGTATACCCGTGTACCTATTGTAATCTATATCTATATATATCCTAATCGAGGTATCGAGCTATCGTTTCGTGCAGCGTTCTAATTTATGTATCCGATACACATTATATRTAATTGAYATGGTCATAAATTTTAGTTGAGTCAACATATTATACAATTAATATTTAATGCGCTTACACGGAATAATATGTCGTTGAACTGTAAATCCAAACGCTACTGCCTACTRCTCTACGGTATGTATGCGTCCGTCGCAATGGTATATATAATACCTATACGTAGGTACAACCTAAATGTATTGTAACACTTAACACGGCGATTTAGACCCTTTCCGACSATGCGATGGTCGTAAATAGCGTATGTAGGTATACACATTACGCATAATATGCTTTGGTCGGTCGTTACTCGTGTTTATTTAACATTTTAATAMATTCTATAATATTATATAATATCCATGTCGTTTTATAAACATTAATTTGCAGCTGCTACGCTGTCCTTAGTTGATGAATATCACYCGCGCATCATTATTCATTATACATTTTACACGTTTTGCAGGACATCCGTATGACACTGCAGTACACACATATATATTATAATATTGCGACTGGTTATTAGAAAACCTCTTATATTAATATATATTTGTACTCCCGATAATATAATAATAATAATAATAATATATGAGAATGAATTCGGATATGTTCAAATTCGTTATTCATATTGTATATTACACATTCACACATTATAATACATATTTAGTCAATGTACCTACCTAGTACCTATATATTATATATACATTGTATTTTGTATGTATTATATATTCAGAGCACAGGCGTAACATGCATACGCATTTTTCGTGAATTCGATTAAGTCGGTACTTACAACAGTTAACACGATTACAGCAATGTTTAATTATACATTTTACAGAGGTAAGCGGCAAGGCGCAGCGTCGTCAATCATTAGATATTGTGTCATATTACCTAGTTACATATATTATTATTATATTTTGTGTAAGAGGACGCTACACCCGCATGTGTTGTCTCCACCGTACAAGTGTGTAACATTGCAAAAACTGTTTCGTACGGGAAAGAACCAGGAAGGCTACAGTTATAACTAAGAAACGAAATTTTCACCACATAATAAGGAGAACATTTACTGTGCAACGTTGTTTTAAATTTTTCGATATCACAAATAGAAAAAAAGTTCTTATTGTTTCAAAATTCATTATTT